AAGTATATATAATAATACAATACTTAATGTAAAACATCACTTTCATTAATTAGAAATTTATAAATTACATATCTGTTAAATCTGTTAAATTGTCTATTTAAAAAACAAATAGAAATAATTTAAGAATAAATCGTTAAAAGAAGGTATAATATTTGAACTTTATAAGATTTTGCATATCTCTGTAGCATAATTTTATTAATGTTTAAATGTATTTTTTTTTTATATAGTTACTGAAATAGTATTAATTGCAAGAGTGTATAAAAAATTAGAGAAATGTGTGTTTTCCAAGTATTTTTATCATATTCTTAAAGTAACATGCCTAACATTTATTAATTATTTAGACAATTTAGGCAATGGCTGCGCAGCGATTGGATATTCTTGTTGACGTCAAAAGGTAGAAAGCAAAAGAAGATGCTAAAAATATTACATGGATTTACTAAACAAGTACGCAAAAATGCTACTTAATATTATATGGACATTATTTATATAGACATTATTTATTTAGAATTATTACAACACAAAAAACAACACATTGCTAACGTATTTATAGAAGAACCATTAAGGTTGTATTTTATACATAGATAATTGCTGAAAGAAAAGTTTACCATGATTGCACTAATGGTCAATACTTAAAACATTTTGATAATGACACGTCGGCAAAGAGAAATGACGCAGAACCTGTAGGAAGTACGTAATGTAATCGGTAGCTATTTTTTAAATCTGGTTGGTGTTTAATATCATAAATTATATTTTACAAATGAATATTATACTTATAGTTTAAATTCTTAACGCAGTCAAGTTTATGTAATGAAAACATCACAAAAGAATTGAGCTGTTAATTTAATACAGACATGTTTACATATTTCGATTTAGTACGAAGAAAACGGCTTGCAATGTTGGATCTTCTAATAGCGGCATCTCGTGACGGCCTTATGACTGATTCAGATATTAGGGAGGAAGTTGACACTTTTATGTTTGCGGTACATAATTTCTTTTGTAACCTCTCTTATTTATTATTTATAGATA